GGTACACAACAAACCTTACAACAACCATATTTCCTTTAATATCACTGTACACGACATCACACCTTAAGTGAACATAACAAAAAAGGTCTATGTTGATGCATACAACTCTAACTTTAAATGTTTTTCTTTATGCTCAATACACATAACAACACTCCATACAACCTCCACCCACCGACAGCACTTAAACATTGCCAGCTATTGTCAAGTGGGCTATTGCATCATTGATGCTCTCGTTTTATATTTATTGTTGAATGGATAAGTGACTATTATTGTTCATATATATTGGCAACTGATAACTAATATTTAGTTGAGCTTGTGGCAGGTTGTTAAAAGCCCTGTCAAGACTCAATAACATGTGACATGCCTAAATATGGCCACTGTCAGTTCTGCTGGAAACTAGGTTATTTCTTGTTGTAGTTTGTATTATCTAATTTTTATGCTTGTGCTGTTAATTAATCCCACAGAAACAATTAAAGAAATGGAAAAGGAGAGAATCAAGTTAACAGGTAATGTAAACAGCTTTTTGTATTTAATAAAAATCTAAAAACCTTGATGTAATTAATGATTATCCCAATATTGTCTAATAGTAGGATTATCCATCTTTCTATAGTCATAAGTTTATTTTTAATCATAATTATAGTATTGATAATTTTCCATTTTAAAATCTTAATACCACCATTCAGTGCTCATATATGTGGCAAAGACAAGCCAAACCAGTCACTCGTCGCAAATCGTGTTACAGAGAAAATGGCCAAAACATGCTGGAATGTCAAATTTTTAAAAATCTAATTTATTGCACTAAACTAACCTTTATATATCTATACATCATTCTATGCTGTTATTTTCCCCATTTTCAATGTTAAAACAACAATTTTTAAGGATTTAAAGTTAGTTTCTGCATGAGAAATGCCTGAAATCATAAACTTTGAAGGCTGATTTCTCATATGTTGTTCTTTAAAAAGCTGTGTGATTAAACGCTTGTAACTTCATAAGGAAATGTACAATTTGAATGATTTTTTTACCATTTTATAGCTATGGTTTTACTTTCTAACACTGTATTAATAACTCAAAATCGATTTTTGCGACAAGTGACTGGTTTGGCTTGTCTTTGCCACATATGTTGTTTTAAAATGCATAGAGAGAGAGAGACCTTGTTTATTTGCACTATATTATTCCATCTATAATTATTATTATAAAACAGTTGAATTCATTTGTTTTAATTCACTTTGTATCAGTTTTGAGCAATACTGTGGAAAAATTCTTGGGCTTAATTACAGATGCAAAAAAAATTAGTAGTTGACACCTTCCTTTTATTGAAATTGATTATTATTGACCGAATTGTCCAATTTTGTGCTCATTGATTTGTATTCATTTTATTAGAATTTCCTGATCAACCACCAGCAGTGGATGTAGTGGAAGATAACCTTTTATTAGCAATTCAGAATCATGTTGGAGAGAGTCAAGAGGGTAGGACATTTTTATTGATTTATTCCAATATTAAAGAAAAAAATCATTGTAGCATAAAGCTGAAACAAGATTAAGGTATAAAATATTGCAGTTAAATATATTTTAAACATTAACCAACATACATGTATAAACCAAATTATAAATATTCAAAAAATAACATTATATTAAAGAAATTGCGCAGTGAATGAGATTAATCACACCAGAATACATTGCAATTAGAAAAGCTAAAGAGGAACTAGATATTGAGAGTGGTAAAATGTACCCCTTTTCTCCCAGAGCTGCAATACGGTTAATACCGTTTTTCGTGAACGCTGGCGTTCTATGTGATAGGGTAAATACGCCTAAACGCCAGCTTCAGTTAGACCTCCTCGAGACCTAGTCTTAATACCGCATTAATACCGTAGCGAGTTTTGCCCATTTCGATGTGAAAGGGTACAGGGTTCATCGCCGTCTTACGCACTGAGGCATAACAAATCAGACGGTCAAAACACAAGCCCCACAGACATCAAATACTCCTTTCTGCGAGAACCCTTTCAGACGGGATGCGGTATTATTACCAGATTTTAACTAGCTGTGTAAAAGGGTCTGTGGCGGCAATAACAACTATGTGATTATGGAATTATTGGGTATTTTATGTCTGAAAGGGGCTATGGTGTCAAAGATCCCAATGACACCCTATTCTCACTACCCATCATCTAAACCAATTCGTCGATCACATCACGAACTAACACAATCGAAGTAGATTGTGTTAGTTCATGAAATCACAGTAGCGCGTATTGGTTGTCAGGCACTGTATTCTTATCACACAAAAATTCCATAACAACAACTGCATGTATTTTGACGTGCTTTCGTGATTTCACGAACTCACACAATCTAATTTGATTGTGTTAGTTCGTGATGTGAGCAACGAATTTTACAATTCATCTATCTTATAAAATCTTTATGATTGTTGTCTTGCCATTAATTTACAAATAGTGAATGTTTATGAGTGCAATGGGAAGAATATTTTCATGAGTTCCAATTCCATTTCATGAGGCAGAGCTGAGTTGTTTTTTTTTTTAATGAAATTATTCTACCATTTGCATGAATACAAAACATTCATTATTCGTTTTTTAACACTTCTATAATAGATCTGATATCAAATAGATTTGATATTTGATTAAAAAAGGTTAGGTCTACCTTTCTTCTGAAAGGAACAGTCCATTTTTAACCAATAAAAATAAATTATAATAGGTGGAGGCGTGCAACGTGACAAAAAGAATGGACAAAAAATACATGGAGTGACGAAATAGTGTAAATAACCAATGTTATATGATAGAAATCCACCTAATTAAATGACGAGGATTTATTTAGATTAATATTGACAACATCCTACAATGTTCTGATTTGAATTGAACATGAAATTATTCTACCATTTGCATGAATACAAAACATTCATTATTCGTTTTTTAACACTTCTATAATAGATCTGATATCAAATGGATTTGATATTTGATTAAAAAAGGTTAGGTCTACCTTTCTTCTGAAAGGAACAGTCCATTTTTAACCAATAAAAATAAATTATAATAGGTGGAGGCGTGCAACGTGACAAAAAGAATGGACAAAAAAATACATGGAGTGATGAAATAGTGTAAATAACCAATGTTATATGATAGAAATCCACCTAATTAAATGACGAGGATTTATTTAGATTAATATTGACAACATCCTACAATGTTCTGATTTGAATTGAACAGAAGTGATTTTTTTTCATATGAATTCCAAAGTTAAATATTTAAAAAATTAATTATTATCTGTTATTATAGCGTTGGGCAGCACAAGTATGATTTATAAAGTAATTAAAAAACAACTGAATATGAGACTAAATATGATTTCTTAATACTTTTTGTTGGTTAATGTATTAATGCAAAGGTAGAATTTAATTTTTAAGCTTCATATTCTGTTTTTTCATTTTGACCTTAGCGAAGAATTCAAGAAAGGAGTTAGAAATCAGCAATAATGAGGTTAAAATGTTAAGAGGTAAGTATCAAAGGAAGTAGATATAACAGAATTAAGCATGTGTGTCTATTAATTGTGAGTAATTGTATTCAAAGCAGATCTCTATCTTAAGGCAAAGATCTGAGCTGAATGTAGAGAAAATGTTTTCAATCATAAAATGATTGTTTCTTGTATCGAATCATTTTCAACTCATTTCTGTTTCTCAAATGTATTGTGTTTTTAAAAATGAACATTTAAAATTTAATTTTGATTTATTTATAGGAAAGCTACAGACATCAGAATCACAAGTCAAGTGTCTTCAAGAAGAGTTATCAAAATTGAAAGGTTTGTTAAGTTGTCTACACATACAATATATGAAGTTTATCATGATTGTAGTCACATTTCTCTTTACATCAGATGATTTAAACATCCAGTTTCTGCGTTTAACACACTTTATTAATTGCTTTCAGATGACCTAGCCAAAGATTCCAGAGGGAAGACTGAAGCCAGGGATATGCAGTCTCTTAGTAAGCAGTTGTCATCTGCTCAAAAGCAGGTTCGGGATGGTGACCTCCAAGTAGCTAAGTTGAAAGGTGAGGATTGACTCCAGCATTATTTGAAATATATTATATCTTGAGTAAGCATCATCATAATAATGCCTCGATGTTTTGTATTATTAGAAGATTACTGTGCCAACCTTAATATAAAACTCTTCAAGTAAAACACATCGTTTCAAATGCCCTGTCTTGACTATTAAATGTGACATGTCTAAATATGGTCATGATGACATCATATAATGACCATATATTGCAATATCATGACTATATATGGGCATTTGATAGTGTAGACAGAGCTTAAATTTTATGTATTCACTCATATTGGCATTGTATTTTGTCAGAACAACTTAGCAAGCTTGAATCAGAGAAAAAGATTTGCAAAAACAAGGTTAGTGAGCTGACAGACCAGTTGGCGAAGGAGCAGAAAGCATCCAAGACGCACCATACCCAAGCAGGACAGATGATTGGTAAGTGATGTATAAGTCTGTATTGTGAATATTTGCTTACTTAAGGATTTCATACTTTTAGTGCTTGGATTAAGATTTTTCTCGTTTGGAGACTTTTTTAAATATTTAACGTCATTCCCCCTTTTATTCAATACTCAGTTGTTAAGAACTTTTTACAATAATAATTGCTATATACTGATGCATTTTAGATAATCTCAATTCTGAAGTACAACTCTCCAAGAAGAAAGATGCCCAGATTGATGAAATGAAAAGTAAGTACATATCAAAACTTATTCAAAGTTAAAATTATTAATACAGTCTTTCAGAGACTGTAAGATAATGTATTGGTATACAATGCAAATTTTTTCCTCATTGACTGGGAGGGGCACACCATTTCCAGTGGTAGTACTTCATGTAAAGCTTTTGCCCCTTCTCAGCCTCCCTCTTTCTTTGTCAATTTGCCTAGAGGATGCCATTTTCCTCTGTTATTTTTTTTTCGTAGTTCTGTTCATTATAAACAAATATACAATCATTAAGATTTGTAGAATTGGCCAATCACAAAGAATTTACTCTATTTTTTATTTGTTTGTTAATTAGGTATATTTATACTAATTGTTTTTTAAATGATATAATTAAACAATGGCTGAATCTAAAGAATAATACTATTTACATAAATCATCATCAATATCATCATCATCATCATCGTCATTTTGTTTACTGTTCTAAAAAAAACTTAAAAGGATTTTTATGGGGGTGGTCATACTTAGTGATAGTGTGTAGTAATGATATTGATGATGGTGGCAGTCTTCACAATTAAGGTGATAACATTGATGGTGGTATTGCAAATATGGGTGTTTCCCAAGCCTAACTGACCTAAAATAAAAAAAAAACAAACAAACAAACAAAAAAAACAAAAAAAAACTATGAAGAATACTTTGAAGCTCTAATTAATACTTTTGATCTTTAAACACTTATTTTAGCTCTGTTGGTACCATTTTATCAACCATAGAATGTGGGTGGAGTGATAGTTGACAATGATCCTTAAAATTAGTCCTACGCGTTTAATTAAACAAAGCAAAAAAATAATTCCTAAGTGATTGACTCAGGGAACCCAAGTCTCCTGCAAATCGAGGGCGTCTCCTGTTGCACTCCCACCAAATGACAAGAATCTACTGGAAAATAACCCATGTCTCGAAATTCAACAAATCTGCATGTTTTATACTACTGTATTACCCCTTTATTATTATTTGTCTCATGGAAGTCAGTGTCGATGAGTATCATGATAAGCAGTAAAAGAATATTAGATGTGCTAAGAAAGTTTGTTTAAACAGATCTCCTGCAGATGACTTTCCAACTTGAGACTCCTGTTGACTTTGATTTCTAAATCCCACTGTATTTGCGGTTTGTTTTAGGGTGGCAGTTTGCCTAATTATAATAGTAGCTCAGGCTTTGTTAAAATGTAAATATGTTCCAGCTTTAAATACAGTAGCAGTGTCATGTTCATGTTCACCTGGACTTTCCTCTGTTTTTTTGTTTTTGATTAATTTTTAACTTAGGTTTAAAATTAGAAATGAAATCTATAATAATTGTGTTTTTCCAGAGCAACTTACTGAATCACAGCGATTATTAAAAAGCAGTTCAAGTGAAGTTGAAGATTTTAAAAGTAAGGATTTTATAATGATTATTATTAAGCAATCAGTTAAGGTTTTTTTTTCTTTTTTGTCTGTTAATTTAAATGTGTGTTGATAAAATAAATAGGATGTAATACCAATTATTCGATTATGATTAATAGAAATTATGATAATAGAAATTAATAAGTTATGTAAATTATTAAAAATAGAAAAAAAATAAAAAGTGCATGGGAAATTTACAAGCTGAATTCACAAGCCTTCTCTTTGAATATGGAATTTTTTTTATATATGTTGTGTGATGACCTGTGTGTTACAAAAACAAGCTATTGCTTGCCCTGTTTACTTACATAAAAGATAGAACTTAATGATAGTGTATTTTTATCAACATGATACTCCAACAATATATGATACATGATTTTTCGACACCCTCACCTAAAATATGATCTTTGGGATTCTATTTATAGTAATTTTGAGGTGAGCGATTGGCCAAGAGGTTTTGTTCCTCCTTATTGTGCTGAAGACCCTGGTTCAATTTGTGCCAGAGTCTGCTTTTATTTGGAGTCTCATGACTTTGCTCCTCAAATAACCCTCATATTGCGAGATTTTGTAGTTAAGTCGGGTGGGACTGCACTGCCGGTGCCATGGATCCCCAGGGGCCAAGCAGAAATTTCTGATTTCCAATTAGAATGGGGACAAATAGAAAATTATTATAATTTATTTTTTACCTGTATATTTTTTTAATTGTTTTCTTTTAACAAATTAATTTTATCCTTTACATTTGTCTTTTATTTGCATGTATTATTTTGGTGATCTTTGACCTATTGTCTGTTCATAGAGCAAATACGCAAATTAACAAGTGAGTTGGAAAAGGAGAAACAGGAACGTAGTAGAGTATATGCTGATATGCCACCAACTACTCCTGTTAGTCCCACACTGGATGACCCCTTGAAACTTAAAAAGTCTGAAAAAGAAAGGAAGAAAGGCTGCAAAGGTTGGTTTGCAAACGCATTCTTACAAATTAATTAATAACTCCCATCAGAATTATTAATCCCTTACCCTTATAATGTGCACGTGTAACTTAGGTATGGAGATACACCTCCACTGGTGATAAATGCACCTGCATTACCTTATTACGTGGTTTCACGTTTGTACTATTCCAAACGAGGTGATGTGTGCGATTATTTGGTGTCCTACCAGACATTGAGTAGTGTGACTTACCAGATGTGAGCTACTTGGTGTGATGTTGTAGATAGTGTTAAATGTGACTTACCAGGCATAGTGTTACAGTCAGGCATTATGTGAGATACTTGGTGTGCTGTTGTAGATAGTGTTCAATGTGACCTATCAGGTGTAGTGATACAAGCAAGACGTTATGTGAGATAACTAGTATACTGTTGCAGACAGTGTGCAATGTTACATTCGCTGACAGTTGTCGGGAAGGCATCCCGATTCGTCTGCAATGCAATCGGCAAAGTAGAACCAGGTTCAACCTTCCCGACAGCTGTTGGCGACTTTCGCTGAGAGGGTGAGTGATTTTATGGAAACCGAGCCTAACAAGTGTAGTGTTACAAACCAGGTGTTATGTGAGATAGTTGATGTACTGTTGTAGGCAGTGTGCAATGTGACTTGCCAAGTGTAGTGTTACAAGCCAGGTGTTATTAGAGATACTTGGGGTGCATTCGGGCAAGTTTTTTGTGGAGTCTAACACGGGATATATCCGAAAAGGGGCATTTCCAGTTCTAGATCGAACAGGTGTTAATCACGGACCACCTGCTGGTATCTGCTGATAATCCAACGCTGCAAATTGCAGTGTTTTTGGAGGAGCAAAAGCAGCATGTGTTAGCAGCAGGGAGCATTTTTTATCACTTAATCCCCTTTGATTGTTGTAACACACGCCAGAAGTAAAGCTTGTTTAAATGTTCATGGTCCCTGCTTCTTGTGCAGTTTATTTCCAAAAACAAAACTGAAAAGCTCGATAGAATCAATTATTTCAACTAAGGCTTGCCTAGAATCCAGATTGTTGTAGCTTCTTCGGTAATTTCATTACGTGATTTTGAGACAAATACATTGATGCAGTGGACCAACGCCAAAGTCTGTTTCTTAATTAAAGCATGGGGTGACCCAGCTGGGTGACTCAAGGGTCTAGGGCAACTTGATAGAAACTCATCATTTGTTGTACCTTAGATTTTACGTCCGAGGTTATTGGTTTTTTTGAAAGCCGAGTTCTGAACGAACCGATAGACCACCCGCGGATACAATACTGGTAAAAACCCTATGTAACTTTTTCCCGTTCTTGCCCAAACACACCCATAGTGTACTGCTGTAGACAGTGTGAAGTTTGACTTACCAGTTGTAGTGTTACAGTCAAGGATTTATGCGAGATACTTGATGTAGTGTTGTAGACAGTGTGCAATGTAACTTACCAGGTATATTGTGAAAAGCCAGGTGTTCTGTAAGGCCTACTTTGTGTGCTGGTGTAGACATTGTGCAATGTGACTTATCAGATGTAGTGTTACAGCCAGGAATTATGTGAGATAGTTGATGTACTGTTGCAGACAGTGTGCAGTTAGACTTACCAGGTGTAGTGTTACAAGTGTTATGCGAGATACATAGTGTGTTGTTATAGACATTGTGAAGTGTCTTATCAGATGTAGTGTTACGAGCCAGGTGTTATGTGAGATAGTTGATGTACTGTTGTAGACAGTGTGCAATGTCACCATGTGTAGTGTTAAAAGCCAGGTATTATTGTGAAATACCTAATGCCAAAATGTATCCATATTTAAGCACTGTAAAGTGATTATTACCATTTGGCCTATTCTGAATTTTTAAGTTAACCATACATTGAACACATTTTTGCTGCTTTTTGTATTTTTTCTATATATATTTATTATGCAGTTATCATTATTTTACTCATTGGCTTTCTTTTATTATAATTCTTTTCTAAGTGTATTGGTGTTTCAAATAAATCCTTACCTTATTCACTTCATGTTGTATAATTATATGTTGATTAAAAACAACCCATTGTGTGCGTTGTGGTGTTGCGTTCTTCATAGGACCATGTCGGCCGAAGACCGTTATGCGCAGTGAATTCCCAGTTTTACAGAACTGAGCATAAACTATTTCAAACCTAAATAATCAAGTTTTACTTTTTTTAGTACCAGAAATTTGTATTATTACATCTCACAATCACATGTTTTTTTTTTTTCATCTTTTTTAATTTGTTTTCAACTCTTTTAAAGTCACCATATCTATTGCAATATTTGAAAATGTTAAAGCTTTCTCAAAATTTAAATAACATTTTTTTTTTTATTCAGCTCTCAGCATTTGAATGTGTAGAGAAATTTTCCATCTTTCCTGTAATACCAAATCTCACTCATTTAGTTTGCATGACTATTATTTGGTCTTTTTGGTATCTATGTCCATTTATAAACTAACAGGAGGTTCTGCAAATAAATTTAATAGCAATTAAACTCAAATTTTGCTTTTAAGTTATATGAAATTCTGCATGAAATATGATGGTGAAATGACTAAAATATATTTTTGGGGAACAAATTTATGAAATTGGTTTCAAATACATTTAGGCATTTAAAATGAATATATAATTAATAATGACATGTTGATTTTATAGTGAATTATGCCAAAGCCTTTTTATGAGCTTTAAATTTCTTAATTGATTATTCATTTAAATCTTAATATTTTAAGGTCGTATTCCTGGCTAAGAAATTTTATTTATTTTTTTTCAATTAACTTTAATAATTACATTGGTTGTTAATTATATTTTTCTCAACCTAACCTCCTCGCTTACAGATGATGATGATACCACGCAAGATGTTGACCCTGACAATTCAGGTATTCTACAACCCTTGAAACTTGACCTTTGTATCAGGGTTGGCTCACATTTCCAACCTGACATGATCCTTCATATATATGCTACTATACTATTTATCAGTTCATCAACTAGTGACTATGTTTTTGATTTGTATATTAATTCATTTACTTTGATTGGTTTTGTATCTCTGGTTTACTGATACTTCTGTGCGCCTGGTAGTTCTATTTTTCTCTTGCTTTGTTTACTTAGTGGTTGCCATCCTCATTTCATACTGCTAACATTTTCTTAAATTTCTGAAAGCATTTTGTTTTAATTGCATTATTTAAAGCATTGTTTGTGTTGAAAAAGTTTCAGTGATATAAGCCTAGCTTAAAATATTTGCAGCAATTAGCTATTTATATTAATCATTTTAAATCGAATTATATTCTTACAAAAGCAGATTAATGTTGATTTGCCAATCATAACAGCTTATGTATTTATTCATGTTGGGATTATAGCAAGGATTATTACTTTTAAGTGAAATAATGTTGCAATGTCCTAATTTATGAAACAGAGGGTTGCCAAGTAAATCCAAAATCTTTGTATTTTTATCTTTCTTTCGATGATGTGCTTTTTTTTTAGAATACAATATCTTTCTAATGTTACGCAGTTGTATCTTCTGTTGATATCTTTCTTTATTTCAACTGCAATCCATCTTGCATGGCCTTCCCATACTATGTTTTACTGTTCCATCTCTTCTATTTTTGTTTATCTACATTCTGGCTTTCGCTTTCTATTCTCTTCTTAGTTTTCCTTAATGCACATTACCTGGACTTCCTATTCCTTCTCTTCTCATTTTCCCTTATACACATTGCCTGGCCTTCCTACTCTATGTCTTCTCTTCTCATTTTCCCTTATACACATTGCCTGGCCTTCCCTTTGCCTTCTTATTTTCCTTAATCCACAATGTCTGGTCTTCCTATGCCTTCTCTTTTAATTTTCCTTTATACACATTGCATGGCCTTATATTCCTCCTCTTTTCAAGTTTCCATACACATTGCCTGGCCTTTTCTTCTCATTTTCCTTTATCTACATTACCTGGCCTTCCTGTATCCACATTGACTGTATTATGCCTTCCTTTTTCTTTTTCCTGTTTCCACATTACCTGGCCGCCTTATGACATCTCTTTTTTTCTTGTAACTGCATTGCCTGACCTCCCCATGCCACCTTTGAATTTGTTTCTATCGACATTGCCCAGAGGTCCAATCATCTCTCCTGATTTGTTTTCTTTGTCCCATATTGCTTGGCCTTTACAATGCTATTTTTCCCTATAAATCTGATTTTCCTTCTCCACACACCATATTTTTTCAATAATCTGTATATTTTGCTTGGTGATCCCACAATAAATCAGTATTGGTCAAAGCTATAAGATATATACAGGTCAGCAGACTTTGAAATGTGTTAATGTGAACTATTATGTGTATGTTAATTTACTATATTATTTACTTGCGTATGTGTTTTGTTTCTATTGTGTGTTGTTTTTTTGTTTGTTTTTCTTTTGTATGCTTTATGACATAACGTTAATGATTTATATTTCAAGATATAGTACATTATATTGGTGGTGTTCACCTCACAGTAAAGGAGGAGTGTTGTAAAGGTGTTTGGGTTAAGGTGATTGCTTCCTGTCCCTGGGTAATGGGTTCATCCAGATGCTAACATAAACAATTCAGCCTTCCTGTGCCTTGTAATATGATTTATAATGTAGCAATTACTACTGTTCATTTTAGTGCTATAATGTGCCATTATAGGTACACTTATTATTCTTCCACACTATAATATCAGGGGTCCCAGGCTGGAAGAAACCACTTCTTGTTAGATGTGCTTCCTTTAACACATCTAACTCAATTTTGCTGTGCATAGTGATACCCATCCCACAAATTTCTGGTAGAAATTTATAAGTAGTAAAATATGTAAATAGCCTGAATAGAATTTATGTGAGATGGCTTAGTTTCCGCGAGGTTTTGCTTTCTATTGGGAGTGTGGGAGGCCATCTCGATTTCTGGGGGACTCCCACAACTTGCGCTAGACTTGGGACCCCTGTAATATTTTCTGTTAATTAAAATATATTATATATTCATTGAGACTAATTCTGGATAGATTAAACTAATAATACTGATTCTATTATTATTATTAATGTTGCTGCTTTGTTGATTTTTTTATTGTTGTTTTTCTATTGTTTTTTTTTTTATTATAGTTGTTGTATTATTGTTATATGAAGTTATTTGATCATTACTGTTGTTTTTGTTAATTTTCTTATTGTTGCTGTTGTTGTTTATGTTGTAGCTGTTGTGATAAAAAGACAATGCGATCTTGAACCAGGATGTTCGAAGACTCCAAACTTCACTGAAGGATTTAGATCAGCAGAAAAAAGATCTTTCAGATAAAGAGGTTGTAGTCAAGTCCAAGGTGCAACATGCAAAGGTCTGTCTCTTATACACATCTAGATGTGTATAAGAGACAGTATTGAATCATTGTAAACCAAATACATTCAAATTATTGATGATGATAATTCTTAATTCTGATTCTTGAATTTTAAAACTCACTTACAATTCTACACTTCTGTAGAATCATCTTTGCATTTCAGATTTTGTAATTTCTGTAATTATCAACTAACAGGTTGTTTGTCTTTCAAAGTTTATAATGTTTGCATTAAATCTTTAAATTTTACCTTCTAGGTGCTTGTGGTTCTTTTAGAAATGAGTGCTGGAGTGCTGTATTACACAAAATTAGATTGTTCTTTTCTCAGCTTTGTTGTTGGGTTTCTTTAAAATTTAAGAGATTTGTCTTGTTCTCTTCTTGCTTGTGTGGGCTCTTTTGAAAGTGTGGTGGTTGCACGGTTTAAAGTTGTCATCATGCATTAGAATGTTTTAACACTTTATTGTTGTTTGTACTTTACAGGCGATCCATCAACACTGCGAGAGGAGTGTGCTGGTCTAAGACGGCGGTTACAATCTGTAGATGCTGAACTCAGGAAGTAAGTTGATCAACATTTTGATTCAGCAGAATATTTTTTAATCAAGTTGAACAATTGATTGGTTAAACCTACAGTATTGTAGCCTTAACCCAGATACTGATTTGAGACCCTCCTGACAAATGGATCAGTGGGTAGAACCAACAAAATGTCAAATCATTGCCTCCCTCTCATTAGACAAAAAAAAAAAAAATGAAATTCTTCTATTGGCCACGTTTTGGGAAAATCCAAAAAATGAGTAGGTCGGTAGGGAAAGTATTTTTTTTTTCTTTTTTAACCGATAATGTATTCATGCCTAGAAAGTAGAAAATGCACAAAAATACAACAAACACCATTTAAAAATCTTTATTGAAGAGCAAAACGATCGCATAACACTATCGTACTGTCTCAAGGTAAGCCTATTCTAGCCTTTTTAGCTCATTAAAAAAAATTTTTAGTCAAAAAAAAAACTACCTAAAATGCAGACCCTCATTTTCGACCATTTTGGGTCAGTCAGGTGTGACCAACACAATAATTTTTTCTATTTGGCCTTTTTCAGAGTAATGTTTTGTTCTATCTTATTAACTAGATAAGATAGTATAATACATACTTCAAGTATCAAAATGTAAGCCATCGTGTCAGGATTCAATATTTCGAGATTAATTATGTCATTATCAGAAATGAAAAAATTATCCATATTTGCAAGCTTATATGCACAAGTACCAAAAGTGTTTGACCAATCAAAACATTACCCCTAGTAGGTGACATAGCTATGAATAAAAGGATCAAAGCATTATTTAAAGCTTTCAATAATGTTAGTGTTAGAAAATATTAAACCTAATTTATTACTTACATTACAGGCTACATTATCATTTTCAAGTATACCTTGTAAACCTAAAACATATTGGATTGCCTCACAAGTTTGTATATGATCATCTATAACACTATCAGATCGTGAAGAATGTTCTATTAGAATAGTTATTAAGCATCTGTCTGTCTTACCAATATAATCATTATTACAACCTGGATATTTAAAATGATAAACAAAACTAGATGTATAGTACTAAAAAATATTCTAAAGAAAACCTTTTCTCCAATGAAAATGTACTACTAATCTGTACTTGATGCTTTCTTAGAACTCGTAAAGACAATGCGATCTTGAACCAGGATGTTCGAAGACTCCAAACTTCACTGAAGGATTTAGATCAGCAGAAAAAAGATCTTTCAGATAAAGAGGTTGTAGTCAAGTCCAAGGTGCAACATGCAAAGGTCGAGGTGACTAGTGCAAAAACTGAGGTGAACAAAACTTATAGTACTTCTGTTTATTTTATTTCACTACAGAAAATAAAGTTCATAACTTTATTCATTCAACATGTCCTCATAATTTCATTCCTGATCATTCCGATATGTTGACACTTTTCTCATAATAAACAAATATTCATTGTTGGTTCTCTGAACCTTTGTTTGCACTATTAAGGTTTCTATGATCTGTGATTTCTCTGTATATTCCATGATGAATTCATAACTTGGGGAAACTAAAATTTACAGATATTTTTCACATATAACTTGATATTGTTGATGTTCTTTGTGTGATGTGTTATTCAGCAATAATAAAGCTGCACTCTGAAAGCAACTTTTAATGTACAGGTAATTTATTATTGGCCTCATCATGAAATTAAAAAAATTGGTTTACATTATTTGTTATTCTTTGTTTATTTAGTGCCTTTCCTTTTAATATTGGAGATTTATATGGAACATGTAGGTATCAACCATAGGAAGATGCTTGCAGCGCTGAAGTTAGTTATGAAGTGTTCTGTTTTCCCCTGTCATTGGGTCAACATGCTTAAGTGTTGCTGCCATATTGGCACAGTAGTAGACAAACAAATCAGATCCCCATTTGTACTCAGGTCAGAGAGAGAAGCAACGCAGATCAGTGTCATGCACAAAGACATAAGCCAAGTGCACAGCGAGGAAGTGAAACCCCAACCTCGAGGCTGGGAAACCAATCCACTTGTTATTGTTATGTACAGTAATGATGAAATAACTAGTATGTTAGCTACAATAACTGCTGCCATATTGGCACAGTAGTAGACAAACAAATCAGATCCCCATTTGTACTCAGGTCAGAGAGAGAAGCAACGCAGATCAGTGTCATGCACAAAGACATAAGCCAAGTGCACAGCGAGGAAGTGATACCCCAACCTCGAGGCTGGGAAACCAATCCACTTGTTATTTGTTATTGTTATATACAGTAGTGATGGAAGAACTTGTAGGTTAGCTACAATAACTAGTCTACTTTTACCTTCATTTGAATTTTAGCTTTCGAAAGCAAAAGGAGATTTGACAGATGTACAGCAGGAGCTGCATGTACATAGGGAAGAAAACAAGAAACTTAAAGCAGAACTTCTTAAACTGAAAACACTTTCTGGAAATGGAGCTACAGTAAGTCTTATACTTAATACAAATTATTGTATATTTAGTGGCATTGTGGTTTGTTTGGATGCAGTGCTCATCCTCAAATTCCATGAGTATGGGTTCGGACTCTTACAAATAAACACCACCCCGGAAAGACCAAATTGCAGTTATGTTTTAAGATATTAAGTTTTTGTGCATACATTTTAAATGTAATCGTAAGTAAATTCTGTGAAAAATACAGCGATGTGCGCGACATTAGCGTGTACTTGGCAAGATCTAATCAACTCATGCTGTCCGCATTTATCTGGTGGAACCATTGATACTGATGCTTATGGAATGGTAATCACCAGGAAGCAGCTAATGATGATTGTCTTTTAATGTCTAAATTTGGTCATGATGACATCACATATCAACCATATGTAGGCATGTCATGACTAATGGGCATTCAACAGCTTATTGTCAGATAAAATTTGATAGCCTGGACAGGGCTTTATCCAATCATCAGTTCTGATATTGTATAGGGCAATATTGCAATAATGGCTATATAAATAGAACACAAATATTGTTATTGTGTTGTTGTCCTTGTTATTGTTGGATTTATTTGGCATCATTTCAAAAGCAAAACATTAAAAAATTGCAAAATAACATCGAGATATAAAAAAAGGCAAAGAAGTAACCAAAGTTAAAAAAGAAAAAAAATGTATTTGAAGGATGTAACTTTTTATTTCATACACCCTTCTAACACCCCATTAAAGTCTAAAAGAACTATATTCTAATGGGGTCTAAAAAAACGATCACAAATAGAAAAGTGTTTATAACATAAGGTCATAAAAAAGAAAAAATTGATTGTTGTTGTTACTCTTGTTGTTTCTGTTGTTGTTTTTGTTGTTATATCTACATCAAGATTTTACATGTGTACCTTGTAGGATGTGAATGTCCTAATATTAAAGGAGAATGTACGTTTTACATAGGTGCTTATACTGTACATTGCTGCATTTTTTGGCCACCCTTTGCCTACAGGCATGGCGTTCCATATCTACCAAAGCCAGCCCGATGTGATTTTAGAAAAGAACATTATACTGATTTAAAGCGTAGGTTCGTAGTCTGTCCGCAAGCAGCGTGTCCAACAAAGTGTATTGCCTGCGATCGGTACTGTATATACAATGACCAAGGGCAATAAATAAGCATTAATGGTCTCAGGAGCAAGCGTTAATAATCTTACTGACACACAAATAAAAAACTGGCTATTATTTTCATTATCAGCATTAGTATTGTTATTGGATTTTGTGATTACCCTTTGTTTTAGAGGTTCCACTCATTGTAAAGCTGGGAAAGAATTGTAGTAACTGGCAACTGTTAAACCATGTATGTTGTAAGCAGTGCCCACCCTGTATTATGCATCTTCCTAGTCCTCTTGTCTTCTAATGAATATGCATTCGATGCTTGAATCCTAATCAGCAATTAGTTCACCAAGTGATTCTTCCTGTGCATGATTTCTAGATAGGATATGGAAAACTTTTCTCCCTCTTACTGAGGATTACTTCTTTCCATTTTGTGTTTATTTCCTCACGGTTTGAATAAATAAGGTAAAGATAATGAAGATGATAATGATTAACACATTGTAAATATTTCTTTAATTTTGGTTATTGATTATTGATTGCATTGTGATTTTTGAATATTATTATTATTATTATTATTATTATTATTATTATTATTATTATTGTATTATCATCACCATCATTATAACATTGCTATGTTATTATTGCTGTAATTGTCACTGATATCATTAAGATATTTATTATTTAATTTTGATTGCATTTTGATTTTTGAATAACATTGTTATTATTACTGTATTATTATTGATTAATAAATGTTTTATGATAATCAATTGCATTATAAATATACTTAATTGCATTATGATTACTGATTGCATTATGAGTATTGATTACATTGAGTTATTGAATTGGAGATTATTTGCATCTTTCTTAAATTTTACAGGGTATGTATAGATTTGCATCAACTGACCATATTGTGCATGATTAAAAATCATTCCATCAAGAATGCAGTCTATCAAATTCTTTATAAGATATTTATTTTACCTTTCTGCTATTTTTTAAAGCGTAATTTTTTTTTTTCATTTATAGGGTCCATACATGACGTATTTACCAGTTGTTGTCATCCTCATTGCTATAGCAACCGCAGTCTTTCAGTTGTTTTATGCTTTCAGTGCACCAGTATGACAGTGGTGATGTTGATGCCAAAACTGTTGAGGAAATCTTACATGTAAACTTAATGTAAAGGATATATGATAAATATAAGTAGTAGTCTACTGCAATAAAACCTATGTATACAGCATTACCATGACTATAGATAGCAAGCAGGGAAATGATGTTTGAGGTGAAATAAGTTACTGTGGATGTTGACAGCCTCATAGATGTTAACCCAGAGCTATAAGATGATGTTGCATCGCAAATGAACAGTGCCACCTCTTGTTATTTTGAGCTTCAACTTGCTTATTATTTACAACGAATGGCATCTGGGTTGTCAAGACGCTGTCTTGGACAGAGGACGCACTCCACCAGCCGGATTTTCTACCATTGAAATCAAAAACAATCTGGAGTAGGAAATTTATTAAGATTTAGTCTATGGAAACATCCATGCAATTGGATGTGTTGAATCATCCATTAAGAAGATATATCCTTAGTATGGTAACATAAAGACTGTGGAAGCATAAGTTCCTTGGTAGTGCAATGTGCTATAGGAACATTTTAATTATAGTAACTCTAGGAGGTATGATATGGCAGGTGGGATAATTTTATGCTGGAATCTTAACAGAGATTGGGCCCAGCTTAATGAGGAAACAAAGAACTGTGGTATTAAAGCAACTATGACAACATAGGTAACAATATTAATATGACTTTTAGGGAAACAAAACTACCTTACGGTAACATGAGTAACGTATGGTAACATAATAAAATAGTTGAAATTATTCAGATAATCTTCTTTGGAGATTATTATGAATATATAATGGTTTAAAATTAGTTGTTGTTGGGTGTTATCAAGGATTTCTTAATGACAATAAATTAAAAGTGAGATAGCTGCCCTACACACAGCAATATGCATCTGTTACTCAATCCATTATTTTCCCAGGTGTATTATGTGCGTTCATGGGTGGGTATGTGTGTGCGTGTGTGTCAGTGTGTGTATTACTGCTTTCCTAGGATGATGCGAGTTGCTCCTTTGTTGAAATGATAAGTCTGTTCATTTTACCCTGACAAGTACCAAATCAACTGATCTCACTTTAAAAAAAAAGCCTTATCCTGTAACATCACCTCACAAGCTTCCTAAGTATTGTACTTAGCTACTGGTTTCCTTTAGCATACTGTAAATGGGTTGATCAACTTGTTATCAGTGCCATTCTCTACATTTATGGTTTTTTTCAGCGAAGTAAATTGCTTCCTGCTGTTGAAAATAGATTGACATTGACAAACTGTGCATACATGTGACCTCAGTGATCAACCATGTGACATAGGCCTGCTATCACATATATTGGCAAAAGTGTGTCTCTCAGGACTGAAATTCAATTGTCTATCCGCACTAAATTCATGTGAATTGCGCATATATGTTCTTTATAAGGTCATATCACATCCATATGTGATGTCTTATCACATGTATATATTGCCATTATGATGTCATATACCCATATATGGGCCTGATGATGTCACATGGGCAAGGGCCATTGTCAATTTGAGTCTGGATAGTGCATTGGGTTCTTTCGTTTAAAAAAAGGTCAGTTTTAATTAATTATTAATTAATTAATAACGTATATGCTCAGTGGGAATCAGGAATGTTAACTCCTTCAAAGTTACCCAACCTGCTTTTACTTAACCATGCTTATATAAAGCTAGTAATATTTCTGAGATGATGGTACAAAGGTTAGTATATATTATTACCAGAGATTGTATAGCTGTAAAAATAACGATTATTATGTTACTGTCTTACATTTTAGACGGTCATTCAAAATGTTTTGCAACATGTTTGCGATAATGGGTCTTTAGCGCTTTCCTAATATGTTTCAACTTGTGTATACGTAAAAGAATTAATGTGTTAATTCTGAATAGGCTTGAAGTAATCTTTAAGGTTGGTTATTTCTTAAATAAAGATCTATTAGTAAATTATCTATGTATTTCATTTTGTTTTCCATAAACTAAACTTATTTTCTAAATTCAAGGATCGATTGGCTCTTGTGAAGCAAATTGTTGGTTTCTCTTCTATTTATTATTTTCTTAGTAGAATTAAAATTTGACTGGAAGCAAATGCATCTTGTAAATGTGTTGGGTGGAATTGACCAGGGGAGTATGTATAGGGCTACTGTCTTCAGAATTTAACTCTAAAACTTGACAGGCTTTTGTTTGGTCATCCATAATTTAAATATCATAACTGAACATTTCAAATATTATTTTGTTATGATTACTACATTCAGTTGAAAATTTCTATTTTCTTTATCCTAATTATATATAGTAACTGTTTTTATATAAATCTCATACACATTATCATTGTATGTAATAAAGAGGTGCAGATTATGTGAATACATGTGTTACATTCCTGAATATAACCTCCTTATGCAATGTTGCATTATGTTATTTCATCCCTTATTTTTTTAATTTAACTGCTTTAATATTATGTTAATTGATGCGTATCCTTTTCTATTAATTTGTTTTTATGTTTTTTTAAGACTGTATATTTCATTGAATGTTTTTCTTTCTCGTAAATTCTGATTTTTACTCAAGTACAGTAACAGAACGTGATCGAAGTTAAAATGTGCTCTGACACTCTCATGATTTGATTATTAGGCCTATTTGCGCCATGTATTGAAACTACATCATAGAATCACTGGTTTTTCTTCTACCTTCTGTTACTGCTATTCAGTGAAAATTAGTCATAACCCATCTTCTGCGAAGTTGCAGTGAACTGACACATATTTTCATAATTAGACTTCTCAATAAAATAATAGTGTGATAATTACTTGGTCATATGTTGTGAATGTGTTTACATTGTAATTATCATCCAACATCTTCCATTACACACCCCCACACACATGCATACATATATATATATATATATCTGTCTCTTATACACATCTTCCTAACGAAAAGCTTGGGATAAATCAAGAACTCAACAATTTTA